AGTTTCTTTATCAACTTGAATCCGCTAGGATTATATAGTATTCTCTTACTTTTGCTATTCCTTTCACCATCTATCCTAGTAAGATATCATATTCTGCAGTCTACTATTCTATTCCTCCTTGCCTCCATGAGGGATTTCATCATTCTTGATATTTCATTAACTTTTTGAATCCGATGGTTTCCTTCGGTCTACTGCCTATTTTAACAGAGTGGGAAGTCTGTCACAAGTGTGACAGTAGCGTGTCGAAGAAATGACGATAAGACGGCAATAACTCCCGAGGTAATTCGGTCATTCTCGCTGTATTAAACAGAATCCTAGAATCTACAGGTCCATTTCAACATGGTAGTGATTCTTGTCATCAAAACCAACATCGGGACATCGGTCGCAACACGATATCAAAACATGGACAAAGATATTGGTTTCATCAACACCCAAAAGGGGATAAGTGACTTCGTCGACTGGGTGGCACTCCGAGAGACTTCCAACGCAGACATGCAACCCCCACTCTATATCGATGCTGAGGGTGAAAAACTCAGCCGGTACGGAAAGATATCTCTGTTGACTGTGCTTGCGTATTCCGGAAAAGACTCGGACCTTGAGCGTACCCACATCATCGACATCCATACGCTTGGAGCCGGAGCCTTTTCGACAGTCGGCGGGCATGGTAAGAGCTTTAAGGATATCTTAGAGTCACCGCAGATCCTGAAAGTATTTTTCGACGTCAGGAATGACTCGGATGCGCTCTATGCTCATTATGGGATTAAGCTGCAAGGCATCCGGGATGTCCAACTGATGGAGAATGCTCGTCGGCCGAGCACAGCCCGTCGACGGCACGTTAGTGGTCTTTCGAGGTGCATTGAAGAACTTCTAAGCAAACAGGAGAGAGACCAGTGGAGGCTCGGTAAGCAAAAGGGAGAAGCTTTATGGAACCCTGACAAGGGAGGCTCATACAACGTGTTCAACACTCGGCCGCTCGCGAACGAGGTCATGTCCTACTGTGTCGGTGACGTGCAGTACTTACCAGCATTGTATCGCAAATACCGCTGTGACACTGTTCGTTGGAGAAATCTAATTGCGGAGGAGTCGCAGAAGAGAGTCTCTGCGTCTCAAGCGGCTGAATACCAACCTTACAGCCGAGAAAAGGCACGGAGTCCTTGGAGTCCCGAGCAAAATAGGATGCTTGACTCCTTGAGTACCATCAGTTAGTACACCCAGAGACTAGTATTTCTATATGTCAAATGACGACTTGGAGGGCGCTGAGAAAGACGGAGACCTCCAGGATGACGGACCAGAGCACAGGGCAGGCCCTCCATCTTAGTTCATGTTTGGCGATATGCTGTAGGTGCAAGATGTATCGATGGGTAAATGAGACCTAATTTAGTTCGGGATTCGAGATGGAATCAAAGGGGAAAGAAAGATATCGGGTCGGGTAGTGTGATGTCTCCAAGTTTGCTCCAAATGTCAGTTGTTGTGGGATTGTTCTGCTGGTGTTGAGTACCAACAGCGCATCTGTACTGAGAGTGTACCATTTTTAGGGTTCGTAGGACGCAGCTGCAAAGAGGTACATCAACTCATCGATATGCACCGTTGTACTGTCATGGGTCCTGGGAACACTTAATGACAATACGGCACTTGAACAGATCCACGTTACTCAACCGTATACTCCAGAATTGTCTAGAATAATGTAAGCCGTGTGATGAGTACGGAGTAGATGGTAACGCATTGTATCAGGTTACAGATGAGGCTTGTTGTATTGCCATCAGTACGGAGTACAACGGAAGAGTAACAAACCAGAAGGGGTCACACAAGAACACCTCCAGCGACCACTCCAGTGGTTCCATATATAGTATACTCGTTGTGATGCCTCCGCCATTGAACTCGACTTATCGCGACGAGACAAGGGATTGCCACTTGTATAGTACACGATGCGACCCACATGGAAACTCAAGGATCCCGGCGTCGATCCCGAGTCCCCAGTGAGTTTTAGCGACTATTGATTTTCACGTAAATTAGCCTCCCTATAGTACGCAACTAACGACTCTAATTTACTATAAATACTGTAAAAGAAACACTGCCCCTCACTAAGCCCCTCCAAACCCCACATGGCCTCCCTTTACTCTCCAATCACCTCCTGATAAAGGAATGGCGCCTTAGGGCAGTAATGCCAGTTAAACTCCTCCACGCCATATAAATAGTACGCAGTGTCACCGTCCAACTTAGCTCCCAGCTTCATAACCTCCCTCTCCAACTCCATCTCTACAGAACCCCCCCTCCCCCAAAAACACCCCCACTATTTCTGCAAGATGTCTTTCCATCACACCGCCCGCAACTGGCGCATTCACCACGACAATGGTGAAACCTTGTTCCGAGTTGAGCTCCGCGATGTCCAGGGAAACTGGCACGAACGCACAGTCCGGTTGGATGACCATATCGGCAACACGGACGGTATGTCCCCTGGGCCTTCTTCTCCCACGCTGTCTTGGTATACACGGTGTAGCTAATACTCTTCGATACATAGGATGGTTCATCTGGGGCGGAAATGGTTTCACCAGGACCGCCAGGAACGTCCGCTTGGAAGATACCGAGTGGGGTCCTAAGCTGGTTGCGGTGTTGGAGTCGAACGGAGGCGGTGACCGCGGTGACCAGGGAATGCTTCTGGGGGATAAGATCAAGAACGAGGATGGACACTTGAGGTTCACGGTAAGGCAACCTTGCTTGTGGTGTTGGTTGATGGCGGTATTGATGTTCTTCGCAGGGACCTTGAGTCAACGTTGGGGACGTTTCCATTTTGATGAATCTTAAATTGCAATATGATCATCTTTTTTCGGTTCAACTATCTCGGATTTTTCCTGTAGCTAGGTGTGTAAAACTAAAGCCTGGTAAAGCTTCATGATAAGGCGTAGACTGGTCCACAAGCACAGTATCTGGACATAATTTCCGATGTCTAACGTAGCTGTCCATCCGTTCGAGTCCTTAACTGGAGTTTAGCTTCCTATCCAAAACCTTAATGATCCTGATATTCTTCTATGCATGCAGACAGATCCTTCACAATGAACGTCTATGTAGACAACACCTTCACAGAAGACCAAGTCATGATCTCAATGACAGACCGCATGACGACGCCACCGATTCATCATTGATAGTTGAAGTTCTTTGAAGCTGCGAAACCCCTTTCATCTCCTGTTTCTATATATATTCACTCTCGCCGCCGTCAATCAGACTTAAACCACCTATGCTCGCATCATCCCACAGATATAACGGGAGGTTACACGGTACTACATGATCATGCGTAATGACAGAGTAGGATTTTGGAATTCACTTGTGGACATTACTAATTGTCTGATTAATGGTTCTGGATGGTCTGATTGCGGCGACTTCGGGTGTTGAAAATGGTTGTCACGGAGTAATTGGTTCTGTTGGCGTATTTGTATTCTACATGGAAGTATGGCGTTGTGATAAAGAGCTGGTGAAATTTATTACCGTCTCCGATTTATTGGAATTAGAAACAAATAGAGAGTGTATGGTACTTTTTGTCTGATGTTTGTGATGGTTTGTATCCCAGGAACCTGCATAACTACAGTACAATCAAAACGTTTGTTCCACAGATTTGACACATCATTTGAAGCATCAAATATCCAGAATCCGATAGTTCACTACCGAAGCATGTACGAGTACCAGTACTCCCACCAGTAGTAACATCCATTCTCTCACTGCAGACTTGCAAATATCTTCTTTGACATAAGAGTTCACCGTCAGTGAAGACACAGCCATCCCCGGCAAGAAAGACCTACACTGACTGAATCACGCAAGAAGGTTGCATAGAAAATCTCCCACGGGGTACCAAACAGTACGTGATAGGATATACGGAACCTGTACACCGTTGCATAACCTATACACATTACCGAAGTTCAACAGAAGCCCCCTTAGGATCAGAAACCTAGTACAGACCTCGGTAATATGCAATCTCTGTCATGCGAGGAATTCCACCGTGCCAGTGAAGGGCCCCCTATCGTCTAGTGAATGAAAAAAAAAGCAACCAGTTCGACAATCCGCAAAGTCTCACTTCCCACCCATCCTCAGAGAAAACATCTAGAAACAACCATGGGTCTCCATCTCGTGAATCTAACAGATACCTTCTCCTGCTACACCAGCGGCGAGCTGGAAGCACGATTCATCTACGAAGAGATCTTCAAGAATAACGACTACGACGTGCCAACGCTCCCAGATGCACCATGCATCGTCGACGCAGGCGCCAACATCGGGCTCTTCTCCCTGTACATCAAAGCAAAGCACCCCCTTGCCAAGATCGTTGCCTTTGAACCGGCGCCGGAGACCTTCGAAGCCCTGACCCGCAACCTGGACCTCCACCATGTCTCGGACGTGGTGGTATACCCGTATGCCTTGGGTTCGCGGGCCCGTACGGCGACATTCACTTATTTCCCGAGAGCGCCTGGCAATTCGACTTTGAATGGGGAGGAGAAGAGGCGTCAGATTGAGTGGTTTGAGGAGAATTACGGTGGCAGTTACGTGGGTGATATGGTCAGAGATGCGACTCAGATGGCTGTTCCGGTTCATCGACTGTCGTATTTCCTTAGTCGGTACCATGGCGATGTTGGGGCGATTGATCTTCTCAAGATTGACGTCGAGGGTGCGGAGTTGGAGGTGCTTGGTGGTTTGGATGATGCGGATTGGGACAAGGTGCAGAATGTGGTGATGGAGGTGAGTGACCTACAGGGGAGACTTGATGAGGTGAAACGCTTGCTGGAATCCAAGGGGTTTACTGTTACCTGTGGGGTTGCACGGGGAATCCCTGAGGTGTTCAACACGTATATTGTCAAGGCTGGTCGACGGGCATGATGTTGGTCACCGTATCTATCACATGAATTTGTCTTTCAGAACCAATTGAGAAGAGCTTATTATGCAAACAATAACACTACTACATATGTACAAAAATACATATTGATTCCATTAGGGCACAAAATGATATGTGAAAAAAAAAAAGGGACGGGCCGGGATCGAACCGGCGACCTAAAGATAGCTTGCAATGGCTCAACCAGTCAGGTCGTTGCAATCTTCCACTCTCCCACTGAGCTACCGCCCCTACTGATGTCTATCTTATCTCAATCTGGGATTCATCAATGTAAAATTATAGGGAAAGACAACTACATCCACACAACCATCAGTACAGGGCGAAATTATAGCCAGTGCTGAGTTTTTGGTCTGGGAACGTCGAAGTCTCTACACATATTGTCATGTCCTCTATTTACCACGAATAGCGGAGATAAATACAATGGTTCAACAATTGCTAGACAAAGCCGACTCACTACTAATCATCTGGAGAGTCGATATTCTGATATCATATCTTCCACTATATTTGACCAAGGCTTTAAACAAGGTAAGAATGTGACAATATCAGAAGAAGTCTATATAAAACCGAATAGCAAGGGACTTGCCGTTGATGCCTGGTAATGTGGTTGAAGTTTCAACCTACTTGACGGAGAAAATCAAGATTCGCCTTGTATATATATAATCGATATAAAACATCATGGGACTGAAAACCAACAACTTACACCGAGGGATGAGATCTAACGACACAACACCTCACAACATCACAGGCATACTGCCAACGTAACCAGCTGCCAGCGGAGCGTGTTTCCAGACATTCGGAGACCGAGGCACTAGTACCCTGTCTGAGATTTGCAGACTTCTATTGGCAAATGTAAACATCGTCTTCAATACAGGAGTATCGACATGTTGTGTATTTTCCCGAGCAAGATGCTCGAAGCGAGCTGCCACGTAATCTATTTGCTTGCCCCAGGTGTGATGGTGCTCGTAAACGACCAGCCCGTCGAGAATGCAGAATACTTGCATGTCCACGGGTACCTGTAAGAGTAGTCGCCTGAACAACTCGCATAAGGCTTTGAGATCATGCTTATGACACGCTTCAATCCAGTCGCTTGAGAGAAAGCTCAGATCGGGGTGGAACAGGCTCTTGTGGGACAGGAGCTGAGTGATCAAACTGCGGATCAGTCCGCAGGGACTGCTGATATCCGGATCTCCTTGTACATCACCGCTGTCGTAAAGACCCGCGAAGAAGAAGAGTACGATGCGTGACCGGTTGCGGACTAGATTTAGGATAAAGCTTGCGTCGAAAATCGACATGGGCGAGATTCTATCTGATGGCATAGTGTCGAGATAGCCGTCTACTATAAGTAACGAAGACTGGGGGTCGTGATACCAGTTCACGAATTCCTCCCTCCGAGTCAACCACCACACTTGCCGGAGTGACAATTCGCTGTGTCTGTTGGATTGCTGGAAGAGAAATTGTAGATCGTCCAGTGCAGAAGATGGTGCGGCTTGGAGGAGACCCAGGAGCTCTAGCTGTGTGATTATTGCATATGGTTCAGTTTGTCGTGGTTCGATATATAGTTCCGAGCTAGAGGGACTCGGAACAAGTATATGGCTGTTATAATCCAGTTCCTCTAAAAAGAATAATCAATAAACACATGATGCTGTATTCCAATGAAATCAGAAGTTAGAGGACTCACCGTCGTTCAAGTCTTGACTGTCAACACCACCAAGCCGGTTGCCCACGGATTCTAGATCCTGGAATCCATGGAGAAGGAGGGTCTGCGCCATGACCCCTGAAAGCTTGGCCTGAATGGCACGTTCCAATTCCAGGAATCCATTCTCAAACCCCTTCTTCATCGCGGCTACAATGGCGGGTTCCAGAGCAACAATAATCGATTGAATCTCATTGAGCTGATTGCCGAATATATCAAGCTTACGGTTCGTCTGGACGCCCATTTGATATGTCCCAGCGCTGTGATATGCGATCTCGCTCCATAGCCGATCCCTCATTCGCATGACATGTTCCCTGAGATTGGCTATGTATCTGTTCCAGTCAGATAATATCCCGTCAACCTTTAATGTTTCGTCGGTTTTGAATGTCAAGTAGCTCGCCACTCGTCGATACCCTGTGGAAAAGGAGAGAAGACATCGGTCAGTTTCTTATCCGTATGATTGAACCTATAACATATTGGTGGCTCCAGGAGGGGATTCATACAGGCTAGTTTTCCGAGAAGAATATCAACCAACTCAGGCATACTCGTTAGAAGCTTAATGTGAAAGTCCTGTCGAAGCTTTTCATCATCCTCTGTAGGTTTTAATAAACCACAGGCAAGGTTAATTGACAGGATACTCTCAGGGATGCTTTCAAAAGCTTCGAGGATCTTGTCTCGATTCTCCTTGCGCTTTTTGGCCGTCTGTACAGATCTGATGAGCTTGATGCTAAGAGGAGATTTCTACTAGTAGTGCCCGAAAGTTACCTCAAAGGCAATCCCCAAAACCCCTTTTATCACCGATAGACCGTACTCTTCCGGGATAACGTCGATCATCTCGAACGCGAGCTCCATGCCCATCATAACAGGCGACTGATAATGCCCCCGAGACGAATACTCGTTCTTGGCCTCGTCAAGCATTTGGAAGACCGTTTCCCATGAGCATTGAGAGAATTTCTGCTCTTCCGGAGTACAGTCTGCATCATGGCTTTCCACAAGGCGTGTTAAATGCCTAGCTAGGGTAGTTAGTGAAGTAAATCATGGAGACGACGAATTGAAACTAGTTACTCGATCGCAGCTTGCTCCTCTGGAATGTATTTCTTTTGCAGTGGGTCGTACTGACTATCCACCGTGAAGGCCGAGTGAAATTCCCCCCCGTGTTTCTGTATCCATTCCTTTCCTTCCTTCTCGACATCCCGTCGAGAAGGTAACTTTGGTTGATAGTGGCGGTGAAACAGGTTTTTCATTCTGCGGTCGTTGCTGGTGAGCGCTTCTTTGTGGCTGCGAGAGTTCTACCGTGTCACCCTGATTCATAATATCCGAATATGAAGGAAGAGCCCTCCAGGGAATTCAAAAACAGATAAAACTTCAAAAGAGGAGGGAGTGTACCGGCTGATAAGCTCGCTCCGTTCCTCATACCCCGATTCGTTGTTTCTAGGCTGTTAGGCTGAGGCGCAGTAGATTGGGTTTCTAGGCAGCCTTCTCACACATGATGAACCACATATTTCTCTGTACTCGCCCTGCTTATCAGTTAGTTTGTCCCCTAGATGTGCACAACGACAGATCGAGAATGTTGATATCCACAACGCGAATGGTCATGGGTAACGACGGAGAATCGTGGAACAGGGTTGTCAAAGCCCGATTTCAGCTCAGTTCAGCTTTTGGGGGTCCCACCACATACCTTCTGACCTCAGCACTTCCAAGTTCTCCCATTCGTCTGAAGAGCTGTGAAATCTGTGTCACAGTTCCTCGCTGTCGGACTGTTGGAACATTCGACACTCGCTCTGCTCAAATCAGCGCATATAAAATAGCCACGGCTTTCAAGCTTCTTTCACTTTTCTGCTCTGAAACAAATATTCTTTAGTCTCTCTCTCTCTCTCTCTTGTTTCACTACCCTCCGGAAGAGGAATTATTGGACCAACCGCAGACTATAGATGTGACCGAGGATTGGATGCCGGACCCATGTGAGATAAAGGAGAAGCAGGAGGGGCATAATTCTTCACTGGAAGTACAGGCTGAGATGACACCTGCCTCAGTCTCAGATTCATCGGACGAGGAGAGGAGGGAAATACATATAGGAGTCCGATACTTCAACTATCGTGGCTTTACAAACAGGACTCGAAATGACGGTTGGGATCACACTATCGAGTGTTTGATGAACAGACTCAACCCACAAGAGGACACGCTGAAAATAAGTAAACAACGTGATTCCAACTTATCGAAACCTGCAGAATACATACCCAGTGCAAAGCTGGTGATAGCAGAAACCCCCAATGGGATAGGAGAGAACAGGCATCTTTTCAGGATCAGGATTCGTTCAGCCGAGATCCTTCGTCACCTCTCTGAGCTTTCCAACTCGAAGCTCTCCGACTGGAGAAGTGATGGTCAATTTCCAAAAGATGAACTTGTGTTTTGCCGCCCGTTCCATGTATTGGTCTTCTACCATCAGGGCATGAAAGAAAGACTCGGAAAGATGCAGTCGGATCAAGATACCGGCTGTGCGCAAGATGACTCCACCGCTCTCCGTGAAATGAAACTTTATGTCGCGTTTGCGGAGGAAAGAATCCTACCATTGTGGACCCAATTCGACGAACCGAGCAAAACGACTCCGAAGAAGGTTTCCTACGAAGAGATCCCCTTTCTCTTTCGCCCTGGGGAGCTGGCTTTTGCTCCTTCCTCACAGAACACTACAAAAGTACACCAGCAATCGGCCATTCAAACCATTTTCCGAATGTATTTCTGCCTACCCTTGGATGTGTGGTATGAATATGAGGGTGAAAAAGAGCGGGATAGCCGTTCTGGCAGCAAAACCACATGGTCATTGTATTGCCTTGATTCCGACGGCGAGGGCTTGCGAACTGCGTGGCGGACCGTGTCATTGGATTATTTCAAGGGAGAGAGGGACATCACTTCCTTGAGGTGTTTCCCGCTCAAGTTTCACCCGGAGCGAGACCGGATTCTGCAACAACACGTCGAAAGAGGACGAGAGTTTAAGGATGTGGTCCAACAGGGTGTCAGGCATCTTTACTACTCTGGGTGGAACTTGGTGACGGGTATCTTGGAAGAGGATGATCCCAAAATTGATGATCCAGAGTATGTGGAAAGCGAAGTCATTATTGATATCAAAGAGGCACAGAGGCATATCCCTGAGTGGGTTATCAGAGACGTTCCCGAGATCACATCCAACGGCAGTAGATGGAGTTTTGGATACACTACTTGCAGTATTTGGAACCGGGATGGGAGCTACCACGACGTTGTGCAGAGTAACATCCTTCTCCGAGAAGATGCCACTTACTTCCAGGAGGCGAAGCAGTTCTACGAGAAGAACCCCTGCTTCCAAAAGGACGGCAAGATTGTCAAGAACATGCAGTGGAGAGATGAGGACTTTGCCTTACTCCCGAAAAGGATACCTGGTTATGTCCTGCGCGAGAGGAAGTTTACGCGGCTGGATGTGCAACGCTTGCAGTCCAAGGCAGACAGCAATAAAGTCACGTTGGACGATATCCAGATCAAACAAGGACACAAAAAAATCATTCGGTCG